GAGCGCCTTTTGCAATCATTGCCCAAGATTAGCCTTTCTGAACTCCTTTAAGTTAGATAATGGATGTCATCTAGACCATTGCTTCTCTTTGTCCTAGCCCTGCAGAGGATGATTTAGGGATGACCAGTCTGTTCCTTAAATTCACGTTATCCCTAAAATGAAGGGCCAACATCATATTACAAGATCACTTTCTCAACATTGTCACTTTTATTTTCATGTTTATACACTGAGGTAGAGTAGAAATGACAGAACAAGGCCCTCAAGTTGTTGAAGATCATCTTGATGTGCTTTTAAGGTGGTAGGAAGCTAAATAGCATATGTATATTTGACCCCAGAGAATCAACCTGTATAAGCTTTTCACAATCTTAAGGAATTTGTTACAAAATAACACTTTTCTGCTGATCTTGACATGGAATCTCATGGTCAAATTAAGCTCCAATTGCACTAAAATATAAGGGGTTGTAGGTTTTCAAGTAGTTAATCTTACTAAGTACTAGTGTTTTTAAAAACGTTAGGTGACAAAATACACCTAGGCACTCACCCGAGTGAAGCAACATGCTCCATAATATTAAAATATAAAAATATATATTTTAATAGTAACCAATGATAAACAATTACAAAGAGGGGATTAACCGATGCTAAATAGTGTTAAAACAGTTTCAAACAGGGATTAACCAATGCTAAATAGCTTTAAAGTTTAAAGAGGGACTGAGCACAGTTCTGAAGAGTAATTAGCACTAAACAACTTTAAAGAGGCGAGAAGAAGAGTAACCGGCCTATGGAGGACGGTGGGGAAGGAGAGGGTGGTGGTGGAGGAAGCTTCCGATGAAGGCAACGACAACGGAGGGAGATTCAGACGATGGCTTCCATGGCAGAGGGAGCTAAGGCAAACTTGATGACGGACCAATGGTGGATCAGGCGACGACGTGGGGTTTAGGGTTTCACTAGGAGCGAACGAGCAGGTGCGAATGGTTTAGTGTAAGGGTTTAGTTGGTTCGATTGAACCAACTTGACTGTTCGATCAAATCAGGCAAGAGCTCAGGTCACAATTCACTTAAGTACTTGCTCGAGGTGCCCAGGCAGCACTTCAATGAAGAACATCACTCGAAAGTTGTGCAAGGTGCTCAGGCCTAACCTCACATCACACGAGCGCTTAGGAGAGCATCCTACTAAGTAATTTTCAGCAATTAAACAACATCTACTGGAAGCTAATTAGAGACAACCAGCTATTGCCTTGTGGCTTCAGTGTCAATTTACAGAAAGATACAAATTTCAAGATACTATTGATACTTCACTTGATTGGTCTAAGGTTCACTTAATCATCCAAAGTTGACTTTAAAAGGGAGACAAATACAGGAAAAAACATTAAAAATGTGGGAGAAGCCATGACATCCTCTGGTGTTGCATCATCTTCATGCCTTTAACATCATTCAGAGAATTCTGCACTAGTTTTCATAAGTAGATTCCATCACAGCACTTCTGTTGCTGAGCCTCTTGATAAAGAGGTGATTGATGTGTTTTGATGTGGAAGTCATTATTAATTACCTCACTCTAAGACCAGTTCATCTAATATAAACTTTTCTAGTGGATTTTGTTCAATTCAAAGAGGCAAAAGGGGACCCCAAGAGAGTAAAGGGAGAAAAATATATCAAGTTGTAATATTAAAGAAAAAATAGAAAGGACTCAAGTATGACCTCAAGGCCTTAATACGAGTTGTGGGATAAAAATTAAATCACAGAACCCCATAAAAATCCTACTAAATTAAACCTCAAGAAATCACAAAATATAGTTCCTGAGAGGCAAACAACTAGTCTAACATATATCATGAACATATTAGAGATCTTAGGCACCCAATAAACTCAAAAAGAAAAATAAATACTCCTCGAATATATAAGAAATTGAGCATGAAAATGTGTGTCGAAGTCAGAGAAATAGAAAATTATAATTTAATTCCAAAAAATCATTTAAAACCCATAAAGCCCTTCATTGTCCACTTGGAAGTTGGAGGCAATGAATGTCATCTGAATAATTGACTCACTAAGTCCTGGGCTGGAGGGTATAATTTAGGTTCTGGATGCCTTGGTGGAGAAATACATGTATGACATGTTGGTAAATTATTCTCATGAAACTGAAAATGAATACACAGAACACATATATGCCAAGTGCCTTCAATCATTTTCAGGAACATAAAGAAAGTTTTTTAACAATCAATTAGAAATATCCATAGTAGAAAGACGAGGGTGGCAGTTAACAATAGTTGAATCACACCTAATCATTTATGTAATTTAAGATAGCTACGCAAAGACATGCCAACAAATAGTAATAGTAACGGTCATGTTATTGCTCATTACTAAACCTACAGCAAAGAAACCAAAATCAAGAATTTCTAGTGCAAACACTTAGGAACAGAAAAATTACAACTAAATTCTAAAGACATTAATAAACGTTGAACATTTCACATATAATAAAAAACATAACAATCATAATAATCAGTTAACAATAAACAATTCCTATCAATTATTTAGACGACGACTAACCCCAATCGGCCATGGCTTTCCTCTTTCAGTCTTGATCCTGTATCCCTCCAACCCACCAACGTAGTAATCCGATCAAACGGTTCTACGACAAAAAAACACGAGAACACGACCAGAATAAGACCAAAATCATCGATCAAACCAGGCACAAACAAAATTACAAGAAGACGATAGTACCTCCGAGAAAGAAACCAAAGAAAGATTCGGCCGATCCAAGATCGGTCGTCGGAGAGTTTAGTGGGGAACAGAAAGCGGGATGAGGTATCTGGTGCCCGGCCGTCGATACGTTAAGCGGCGCGCAAGGCGGCCAAAGAAGGGCAGATCGCGACGGCAGCGTGGAGGCGGCAAGAGAGAGGCAATGAAAAGAGCGAAGAGAGAGAGAGGCAATGAAACCGAATGGGGTCGATCGAAGAAGCTGTCAGCGTGACCTGGGTCAAATTTATATATAATTTACCACGTGTTTGTCACGTGCTTTTCACGTGTATATGGATTAATCCATGCAGCCATAAATCTTATCCAATTTCTTATGACTGATTTCCATAAATGTGATTAGAATAAATTATATACACTGTCTTATTATTATTATTATTATTATTATTATTATTATTATTATTATTATTTATGTTATTGTTGTTAAATTAGATCTACTATATTGGATATATTTCTAAATTCTAATTTTCTTCAAAAAAAATTAAATAAAAATAAATCTCTGAAAGTAAAATTTTCTTGTGATATGGTAATCTATTTTTCGTGTGGACAAGGAGAGAATAACAACTACCTAAAATCCATTAAAGCAACTTTTACTATAAAATAAACTTAATTTATATCCAAAAAATTATTATAGGTGCATAAAAATGAAACTGAATAGGGTCATGATGACAATGGTGCATCAACTTTTGAATAAGTACATGGCCCTTATAATATGTCCTCCGATTCTTATAAATAAAAATTGATTTATAGCATTGAGTGCATAAAAAATTTATGATTTTACGAAGATCCGCCATTATACTCCCCCACACATTTAATCATTTTTCTCTTATTTTTTATCAAATTTTAATTAGGTTCATGTTAAATCATAAGTGATTTTCAACTTTAAGTTCTGAAAAAAAATTATAAAAATAAGAATATCTAATTGAAAATATTATTTGCTAAGCAAATAATAGACTTCATGTGAGTGTCCTATAACATAATAACGAATGTCATGAGAGTTACAGATTATTTTTTTAATGATCAATAAAATATACTTAGAGATTATAAGATGTCAAAGCAATTGATCAAAACGACAAGAGAGCAATGATGAAACAGAAGGGACTTAGCTAAGCACTAATAAATGAGAATTATAAACTGTCTTTCCATTGTCTAAACTAAATTTATTTAGAGAATATCGAGATGTCAAGACAATTGGTTAAAGGGATGCAGAAGAGAATTAAACTAAAGGGACTTAGCTGCTCAACAATAACATACCACCGAAGTGGGTATGCTAATCATGAAGGAAAGGATATCGATGTAAAGCGACAAATAGTATAGTTGCATGCATTTGAGAGCTCCATTGTACTGCAATTTTAAGACTTTTAAATAGCCACTAATTTTTCCTCGTACGAGGGAGAGGGCACTGGTTGAGAATAACAATCGAGATGGTAGAGAATGTAGAGACAATATTCGGAGGGCTTCTTATCTTTACACAATAATTTGAGTTAGCTAAAAGTGAAAAGTGTGTAATGGCAGTAGGCAGCATTTATAGTCTACCATTTTCTACTCAAAGCAATGGACACACTCTAATGAAAGAGAATATGCAATCTTAGAGGATGATTGAATTATCCAATAATTAAGTTTAAGTAGAGTTGAAATCAAATGAACAATGAGCAATCGTCACATAAACCTCATAGAGAGTGATGTATTGGTAAATGCATAACAAGGTTAGAATGAAAAAAAACAATAGATAACAATCTTCCACCAAAACACACAAGTTTGAATGGTTGAGCTCTAAGTACAACTTGATGTTATTAACCTAATATAGCATAGCACTATGCAAGTGAGAGTTCTTGACAAGAAAATTAATTTTAATAGGGATTTTAGAAAAATAAATATAATATATTATCTTATATCTAACATTAAAAGGTGCATAAAAATAAAAGGTTGCACTAAATAGATTCATTGTGAAAAGATGAATGGATAATTAAATAGGTATATGACATTTAAAATATGTCTTTTAATCCTTATAAATATAAAGAGATTTACGTTATTGAGTGTGCAGAGAAGTTATAATTGTAAATATCATATTTACTATTTCCTCCGTACTCTCACCGCACATCTGAATCACTTAAAGTTCATTTAATTCCCTTCCGATGCTATACAGAATAATAGAAAGGGAAGCAGCAATAGCAGAAAGATGGAGAACCAGATGACCTTGCGAGTAAGGCAGCCTCACCGGAGGCCGTCTCTTTTCTCTTTGAAGATCCTAAAGTTCATGTCCCTTGTATAATGCCTAGACGACTAGTTCAATATTGTGTTTTGATGTCTTATATCGTTCATGTATTTAACACTTATTGAGTTACACTTGGTCTCCAGGTAAATGATGTTGTTGCCATCCTTCAAACCAGAGATCAGAGATCTTGTTTGTAAACTGGATGATGACATAAAAGATACATGCAATTGTAAGCATAAAAATCTGTAATTATGCTAAGTCAATAATGCGGAATTAACCTAAATGCCAGGATTGAAATCAATACATAGATCTAATTATACGATGCGTACCTTTTGATGCCATCCGTTCAGAGATCTTGTTTGATCTGCTCAGCACCGTGATCCAAGATTGCTGAAGGCTCCGTCTTCAATCCGATCGCGCTGCGGAATCTGCAGGGAGTGCGCAGAGTAGACCCTTTCTCCTCTCTTCCTATCCTTTTCACAGGATCCAATGGATTTGGGGAGAGGGTTTTGGGGAGAGAGTCAAGGAAAATAACTGAATTCCTCAACGGAGAGATGCGTCTATACGTGTCAACGTTATGACGCTCTAACAGGGTCTACGATATCTCCGAGGAATCGTTCCGTAGTGGACTTAGTTGCAACGGAACCCAATTAGTTATTCTATCTTATTCAATTATAAAAAGGGCCACATATTCTAACATTCTCCCACTTGGCCCATTAATTGATAAGATATAAAAGAGATACAAAATCAAAACAAACAAAACAAAATTTGTTTGAAAACAATTTTACCTAATTGGATTCCAAAAAATTTTGAAAAGCATTTTATACATGGCCATGTTTTAAAAATAAGCCAATAAGTCCAATAAACATAATAATACTATATTAAGTCCAACTATCAATGCGAGTCATAGCGGTTGTATTTCATCAATGTCATACTCCCTTCTATGTACCACAACATTGTTGGTCTTTCCTAACATAGTCCATAATGACCCCTGTAATTTGTCTTGTCAAGACAATCCTGTTATTACATTCAACCATAATATGCATAAACATAAATGTAAACAGGATAGCAGAAACATATAACTTTAATTAAGTAAAATGTCAATAATAGCATCCACATAAACATGCATCACCATATCCTTTATGACTTACTCACAAGCCCCATTCTAAGAACATGTTCTTTGAATATTTTGCACTGTAAGGCTTTTGTCAATGGATCAGCAATCATCATAGTGGTGCTCAAGTTCTCAATTGACACTTGTTGTTTCTGGACTCTTTCTCTAACCACCAAGTACTTTATCTTAATGTGCTTGGAACCACTAGAGTACTTGCCATTCTTAGAGAAGAAAACTGCTGCGGTGTTATCACAAAATATCTTCAGCGGCTTGGCAATTGAGTCGACCACACCAAGTCCTGAGATAAAATTTCA